AGGCTTTTCCCCACCTTCTCTTCTATTAGTTTCAGTGTATCTGGTTTTATGTGGAGGTCCTTTATCCACATAGACTTGAGCTTTGTACAAGGGGATAAGAATGGATCAATTTTCATTCTTCTACATGTTGTCTTCCAGTTGAACCAGCACCATTTGTTGAAAATGCTGTCCTTTTTCCACTGGACAGTTTTAGCTCCTTTGTCAAAGATCAAGTGACCATAGGAGTGTGGGTTCATTTCTGGGTCTTCAATTCTATTCCATTGATCTTCCTGCCTGTCTCTGTACCAATACCAGGTAGTTTTTATCACTATTGCTCTGTAGTACAGCTTGAGGTCAGGGATGGTAATTCCTCCAGAAGTTCTTTTATTGTTGAGAATAGTTTTCGCTATCCTGGGTTTTTTGTTATTCCATATGAATTTGAGAATTTCCTTTTCTAACTCTGTGAAGAATTGAGTTGGGATTTTAATGGGGATTGCATTGAATCTGTAGATTGCTTTTGGCAAGATGGCCATTTTTATTATATTAATCCTGCCAATCCATGAGCATGGGAGATCTTTCCATCTTCTGAGATCTTCTTCAATTTGTTTCTTCAGAGACTTGAAGTTCTTGTCATACAGGTCTTTCACTTGCTTGGTTAGATTCACACCAAGGTATTTTATATTATTTGCAACTATTGTGAAGGGTGTCATTTCCCTAATTTCTTTTTCAGTCTGTTTATCTTTCATGTAGAGGAAGGCTACTGATTTGTTTGAGTTGATTTTATAACCAGCCACTTTGCTGAAGTTGTTTATCAGGTTTAGGAGTTCTCTGGTGGAAGTTTGGGGGTCACTTAAGTATACTATCATATCATCTGCAAATAGCGATATTTTGACTTCTTCCTTTCCTATTTGTATCCCTTTGACTTCTTTTTGCTGTCTAATTGCTCTGGCTAAGACTTCCAGTACTATATTGAATAGGTAGGGGGAGAGTGGGCAACCTTGTCTAGTCCCTGATCTTAGTGGGATTGCTTCAAGTTTCTCTCCATTTAGCTTGATGTTGGCTACTGGTTTGCTGTAAATTGCTTTTACTATGTTTAGGTAGGGGCCTTGAATTCCTGATCTTTCCAAGACTTTTATCATGAAGGGATGTTGAATTTTGTCAAATGCTTTCTCAGCATCTAGTGAGATGATCATGTGGTTTTTTTCTTTAAGTTTGTTTATATAGTGGATTACATTGATGGATTTCCGAATATTGAACCATCCCTGCATTCCTGGGATAAAACCTACTTGATCATGATGGATGATTGTTTTGATGTGGTCTTGGATTCGGTTTGCTAGAATTTTATTGAGTATTTTTGCATCGATGTTCATAAGGGAGATTGGTCTGAAGTTCTCTTTCTTTGTCGGGTCCTTGTGGGGTTTGGGTATGAGTGTAATTGTAGCTTCATAGAACGAATTGGGTAGTGTTCCTTCTGTCTCTATTTTGTGGAATAGTTTGAAGAGAATTGGTATTAGGTCTTCCTTGAAGGTCTGATAGAATTCAGCACTAAAACCATCTGGTCCTGGGCTTTTTTTAGTGGGGAGGCTTTTGATGACTGCTGCTATTTCCTGAGGGGTTATGGGACTATTTAGATGGTTTATCTGCTCCTGGTTTAACTTCGGTACCTGGTATCTGTCTAGGAAATTGTCCATTTCATCCAGGTTTTCCAGTTTTGTTGAGTATAGGCCTTTGTAGTAGGATCTGATGATTTTTTGAATTTCTTCAGTTTCTGTTGTTATGTCTCCCTTTTCAGTTCTGATTTTATTAATTTGGATACTGTCTCTGTGCCCTCTGGTTAATCTGGCTAAGGGTTTATCTATCTTGTTGATTTTCTCAAAGAACCAACTCCTGGTTTTATTGATATTTTGTATTGTTCTTTCAGTTTCTATTTGGTTGATTTCAGCCCTGAGTTTGATTATTTCCTGCCTTCTACTCCTCCTGGGTGTATTTGCTTCTTTTTGTTCTAGAGCTTTTAGTTGTGCAGTCAACTTGTTAGTGTGTGCTCTTTCCAGTTTCTTTTTGTAGGCACTTAGAGCTATGAGCTTTCCTCTTAGCACTGCCTTCATGGAGTCCCACAAGTTTTGGTATGATGTGTCCTCATTTTCATTGAATTCTAAAAAGTCTTTTATTTCTTTCTTTATTTCTTCCTTGACCAAGTCATCATTGAGTAGAGAGTTGTTCAGTTTCCATGTGTACGTGGGTTTTCCATTGTTTTTGTCATTATTAAAGACCAGTCTTAGTCCGTGGTGATCTGATAAGATGCAAGGGATTATTTCAATCTTTTTGTATCTGTAGAGGCTTGTTTTGTGACCAATTATATGGTCTATTTTGGAGAAGGTACCATGAGGTGCTGAGAAAAAGGTATATTCTTTTGTTTTAGGATGAAATGTTCTATAGATGTCTGTTAAGTCCATTTGGTTCATAACTTCTGTTAATTTCAAAGTGTCTCTGTTTAGTTTCTGTTTCCATGATCTGTCCATTGCTGACAGTGGGGTGTTGAAATCCCCCACTATTATTGTGTGAGGTGTAATGTGTGTTTTGAGCTTTAGTAAAGTTTCTTTTATGTATGTAGGTGCCCTTGCATTTGGAGCATAGATGTTCAGAATTGAGAGTTCACCTTGGTAGATTTTTCCTTTGATGAGTATGAAGTGTCCTTCCTTATCTTTTTTGATTAATTTTGGATGAAAGTCGATTTTATTTGATATTAGAATGGCTACTCCAGCTTGTTTCTTGGGACCATTGGCTTGAAAAATTGTTTTCCACCCTTTTATTCTGAGGTAGTGTCTGTCTTTGTCACTGAGGTGCGTTTCTTGTATGCAGCAAAATTCTGGGTCTTGTTTGTGTATCCAGTCTGATAGTCTGCGTCTTTTTATTGGGGAATTGAGACCATTGATGTTAGAGATATTAAGGAAAAATGATTGTTGCTTCCTGTTATTTTTGTTATTAGAGGTAAAGTTATGTTTGTATCTTTTTGGGGGGTTGTTGGAAGATTACTTACTTGCTTTTCCTAGGTTGTAGTTTCCCTCCTTGTGTTGGCATTTTCCATCAATTATCCTTTGAAGTGCTGGGTTTGTGGGAAGATATTGTGCAAATTTGGTTTTGTCATGGAATATCTTGGTTTCACCATCTATAGTGATTGAGAGTTTTGCTGGGTATAGTAATCTGGGCTGGCAATTGTGTTCTCTTAGTGTCTGTATGATGTCAGTCCAGGCTCTTCTGGCTTTTATAGTCTCTGGTGAGAAGTCTGGTGTAATTCTTATAGGTCTGCCTTTATATGTTACTTGACCTTTTTCCCTTACTGCTTTTCGTATTTTTTCTTTGTTTTGTGCATCTGATGTTTTGATTATTATGTGACGGGAGGTATTTCTTTTCTGGTCTAGTCTATTTGGTGTTCTGTAGGCTTCTTGTATGTTTATGGGCATCTTGTTCTTTAGGTTAGGGAAGTTTTCCTCAATAATTTTGTTGAAGATATTTACTGGCCCTTTAAGTTGGGAATCTTCATTCTCATCTATACCTATTATCCTTAGGTTTGGTCTTCTCATTGTGTCCTGGATTTCCTGGATGTTTTGAGTTAGGAGTTTTTTGCATTTTGCATTTTCTTTGACAACTGTGTCAATATTTTCCACCGTATCTTCTGCATTTGAGATTCTCTCTTCTATCTCTTGTATTTGGTTGGTGATGCTTGCGTCTGTGACTCCTGATCTCTTTCTTAGGTTTTCTATCTCCATGGTTGTCTCCCTTTGAACTTTCTTTATTGTTTCTATTTCTAGTTTCAGATCCTGAATGTTTTTGTTTAATTCCTTCTTTGTGTTTTCTTCCATTTCTTTAAGGGATTTCTGTGATTCCTCTTTAAGGGCTTCTATCTGTTTACTTGTACTCTTCTGTATTTCTTTAAGGGAGTTACTTAATTCCTTCTTATAATCCTCTATCATCATCATGAGAAGTGATTTTAATTCTGAATCCTGCTTTTCAGGTGTGATGGGGTGTTCAGGGCTTGCTATATTGGGAGAATTGGGCACTGATGATGCCAAGAAACTTTGGTTTCCGTTGCTTATGTTCTTGCGCTTGCCTTTCGCCATCTGGTTAACTCTAGTGGTACCTGCCCACACTGTGTAAAACTGGAGTCTGTATTTCCAGTTATCTTGCTTATTGCAGAGCTCCTCAGAGTCCAGAGGTCTCTGTGGTCTTATGCTCCTAATCTCCTGGGTGGAATAACTCCTGGGACTCAGGCCACCTCTTGGATCTGGAAATCCTTCTGCTCTGAGTGCAGTGGGTCCTCGATGACTCAGGATTCAGTTTCAGCTGCTCTGAGTGCAGTGGCTCCAGCTGCTCTGAGTGCAGTGGCTCCTGGATGACTCAGGATTCAGTTTCTCAACAGGACAGGAGCAGACCGACTCTGTGTCAGCTGCTCTGAGTGCAGTGGCTCCTGGATGACTCAGGATTCAGTTTCTCCACAGGACAGGAGCAGACCAACTCTGTGTCTGCTCCAGCCCAGAGGACCAGGCAGGGGCAGAAGGGAAGTGGAATTCCGGAGGGGCGGGGTTTGGGTAGCTGCTGTGCCCTGGATGTCCCTGGCTCCCCGATCTATCTCTGGGGTTTAGGGAGTGAGATGGAGTTCTTACCAGCTGCTCTGAGTGCAGTGGCTCCTGGATGACTCAGGATTCAGTTTCTCAACAGGACGGGAGCAGACCAATTGTGTCTGCTCCAGCCCAGAGGACCAGGCAGGGGCAGAAGGGCCTGAGTCCTTCTCTTATATTCTCTAAGGACCTTTTTTCTAGTTAGCCAGATTTTCATTTTCCTGTCTTGTTATAGACTTGATATACTATATATATCAGATAGATAGATAGATAGATAGATAGATAGATAGATAGATAGATATAGAGATATACTTTTCTTTCTCAATAGAATAAAAAGAGAAAAATAGATAATATTTTAGTCATGGATAAGGCACGTCATTGGTTTTTTATTTTTCTTCCCTCAAGGAGAGACTATGTGTCTAAGTATGTTGATTACATTTTTAACGTCTCTATAAAGACAATTTATGAAGAATTTCATAGAGGATTTTACAAAGTGTGTAACTGGGATATAATTAGGCATTTCCAGCCTGAAGAACTAATGACAGCAATAATTGGAAATGCTAGTTGTGACTGGAAACAATTTGAAAATGTAAGTTCTAACCCAAGTACCCTCTAACTTTTCCAAATAACTGATACATATTTCTTCTAAAATTTTCTCTAACTCTTTTTTTCTCTTGTCCCCAAGAATTCAAAGTATGAAGATGGATATGACAAATCACACCGAACTATTATGCTGTTTTGGAAGGCTTTCCATGAATTAACTCTGGATGAAAAGAGGAAATTCCTCTGTAAGTACTATAATAGATATCTAGCCTTCATGTAATAGATCATTTTAATGACAAGGTACATATATTTGTAGAGCACAAACCCCAAAAGCCATGACTTTTCTAGACTTTCCCTGCCCCTGCTCCTCTGTAGTTTTTCTGCACAAAAAGTGTACTCAATATTTATTAAATGTGATCATTAATTCTTCTTATGTATCTTGAAAATTTCTAGATAAAAATTCTTAACAAAATTGTCTTCCTTTCTAGTGTTTCTTACAGGGTGTGATAAGCTCCATGTAAGAGGCTTCCAGAGTGAAGGTATAGTGTTCCGGTGTCCTGAGTTCTTCAGTGAAATACATAACCCAAGATCACTGACATGTCACCGTATTCTATACCTGCCTAAATATTCCTCAATGCGAAGGATGAAGGAAGCACTTCAGGTTGCAATCAACAGTAACAGGGAATTTGTCTCATGGCAATGATGCAGAAACATTCACCTCCCAGCAGTTCACAGGCTCAGGAATGAGGTTTTTCACTCTGGGGGTTCTTCTGTCTTTCCTTAATCTAAGTAGGGACAGGAGGTTAAAAGATTTTACTTTAGAGATAAATAAGTTGTGAATTAATATTTTTAGTGAAAAAATTCTGTAAAACATTAGCTGTATCCTTTTTTTATTAGCTGCATTCCTAACCTTGCTATTTTAGAATGTTTGTTTTGGCTGAAATATTTTCTGAACAACAATGTTATTGTACCAATAATAAACTATTAGTTTGAAAGTATTAATAAACCAAGTTTGGAAATAATATGCAAAAGTATACACTGCTTTCAGCATGTTTTTGAAGCATATACATGTATATTTTGTATTAAGGAATATATTTAGAGTTGTAATTTTAGAAAATGCGAAATGATTTATTTTCAACTTCTAAGTGTTGATATTTGTTACTCTTCAAAGATATTTATACTTAGGACAGTGTTCCCAAATACATTCTGAATATAGATACTGTGATTTTAGTAAAATACTGAGCACAATCAGGAACTTGTGTCTGCTTGTGGTTGGCAAAATGTGAAGCAGTTGAAATATGTCTTCTTATGATGCTGTAGAGTAAATTAATAAAGCAACATAACTGCTATGGGAAATGACCAATACATCTTGTATACTAGTTCTGTTTAATGTTAAAACTTAAATTGTATTCTACTGCTTTGAAATGATTTTATAAACTCATATAACTTGTCATAAGAATGGCATATATGCTGCTGTGACAAGCACTCACTGTAAAAGTTCCACTTCTATAAAGATGTTGTATCATTATAGCCTTCTCAGACTTCACATGTGAGGTGTTTACTGAACTCCAAAGTAACAAAATAAACTAATTAAAAATAGATCATTTAAAGATAATAAAATGATTGTCATCAATTGCAACAACAAAAACAAATGAATCATTAGAAGAAGGAATACTCTTCAGTTAATTCTCTGGTCCCAGCATTGCTCCAGTATCAGACAAAAATGTCACAGAGAAAAGAAGCCATAGATACCTTATGTAATGCAGCAAATCCTTTGCTACATTTTAATATACTTAGAACATCTAATAAAATGTAGAGAGGAAAATCCCTCACAACCAAGGAGGAATTAACCCAGAGATGCACTTAAAAATCATCTTAACAGACTAATAGGAAAGAATGCCCATATAATACCTCAGAGTAAGCAGAAATGTAACTGAGCAAAATTTAGCAGCTAGTCATGTATGAGAAAGCAAACAAGGCCTAAAGGAAACTGCCAATTTGATAAAGCCTAGATACTCTTGACTGCTTAATGGCAAAAGACTAAATGCTGCCCACTGCCAAAGAGATGGAAAGGCATATCATGTCCATGTAACACTGTATTCAGGATATGAATTCATATTATAAATAATGACAATAAAAAACATTAATTCAAAACCAAAGAACACAGTGCCTTATTTTTAGAGTACATTAACTATGTAGAAGAGTCTATTAAAAAGGACATTAAGTAAATATAGAAAGAGCTCAGGACTCAAGATCACAGACACACAGTGAATAGGAAAAACATTGTCATCTACAATATAAAAAGTATTAAATAACAGGATAATTTTAATAAGATTTTAAATAGTTTTACAATGAAAACTATATTGTGTAAAGAAACTAAAGAAGTCATAAATTAATACATGTAGAAATGTCAGATTTACTGATAGCAGCATGCCATTCTTCCAAGGCTTGTGTGTATGTGTTTGTGTGTATGTGTGGTATGTATTTGTGTGTGTATTTTTGTCTCTGTGTGTGTATATATGTGCATGTCTGTGTCTCTGTGTATATGGTATGTGTTTGTGTGTGTGTATTTTTGCGCGTGTGTATGGTGTGTATGTGTGCATGTCTGTGTCTCTGTATGTGTGCCTGTGTTTATATTTCTGTGTATATTGTGTGTATGTCTATGTGTATGTGGTATGTCTGACTGTCTATGTCTGTGTATGAGACTTACTGTTTGGGAGATTGTTTGGTCTTAGACCAAGAAGAGCTGAGACTGCTGACTAGGACATGTAGTCAAATGATCATTTAATTTCAGCAATTTATTCTGTTTATTCAATTTATTATGCAAAGGGCTCAGAATAGCTGAGGCAAATTTAAAAAGAGCAATGGATGGTGAAGGGTATGGTTGTTTGAATGAGAATGGGCCAATATGCTAAGATATTTAAATACTTGGTTCCCAGTTGGTGGTCCTGTGTGGCTAGGTTTAGAAGGTTTGGCCTTGCTGGAGGAAGTGCATCATTGGGGGTGGACTTTGAGGTTTCAGAAGCTATGCACCATTCCCAGTTTGCATGGTCTGCTTCATGCTTATAGATCAAGGTCTAAGCCTGCAGCTGCAGCCACCATGCTTGCCTGCACTTCTGCCACACTTTCCCATGTGACTGTGATGGACTCTTATCCCTCTTGACTCATAGCTCCAAATAAACGTCTCTTCTGTAAGATGCCTTGTTTATGATGTTTTATTATAGCAATAGAAAAGTAACTAATACAGGGGGCTTACATATATTGATTTTGTGACTCACTTTGAGTATAAAGTGAAAAAGATGGTGGGAATTGGGAGGGGGTGTACAGATCACTAGATCACATAGAACAGAACTGAAAAGTCAGAAATATGCCCAACAAAATATGGCTAACCAAGATTCTCTTTCCTTGAATCTGGGAGTAGAACCTAAAACTTTGCACATTCTAGTCAAATATTCTGAATTATATAACCTAACCCTTGGTAAGAGCACAGGCCTGAATCAGACCTCACTTCCCAGCAGTTTTCTCTGAGATACAGAACTAATTTTCAATCTGTACTGTGGCCTAACAGAAACTCCTCATTTATGGTCCAAACCAGTATCTGGCTTCTCCATGCTTTTTTAAAATCACATACACTATACTAAAATAAATTTCATGGTGTCAAATTCACGCTACACCTAAAAGATTATGAAAAAAAGTCAGATTTTTTTTCTTCTGGTGATTGAGCTGAGACACTCCAGGAAGATTTTTCTGGGAAAGATGCACCCAAAGATGTTCTCTGAATGGGTTCCTTTGGCCTTTCCCGTTATTCCTCTCATGCTTCTTCCCCACCCCATTCAATTTATTAATGACATTCCTCTCGAGGATTTCCTATTCTTTGACTTTCTTCTTTTTCTCCTTATGCTCATGGTTTCTCTCTCTCTCTCTCTCTCTCTCTCTCTCTCTCTCTCTCTCTCCCCCCCTCCCTCCCTCCCTCTCTCTCTCTCTCTCTCTCTCTTATACATGGATGTATGTGAGTATGTGGGTGTATTTTCATTGGCATGTCTGTATGGGCCAGAGTTTGAGTTTTAATATCTTCCTCTACCATTCTCTACTACGTTTTTGAAACAGGATCTTTTATTGAACCCAGACTACTCTGTCTCATCTAGACTGACTGGCCAGTGAGCCTCTAGAATCTGCCTCTCTTGGCTCTTACATGGAAGCTGGGATGTAGAACCAACCACAGGTCCTCATACTTATATACCAAACACTTTACCCATGAGGCCTTCTCCCCAACCCTGACCTTAATTAAATATTTCTGTATATTTACATTTAAGGTCTATTATCAACAGCATACAATAAATGGGTTGCTTGTTTTTGTTTTAGTTTGTAACAAACGTTATGAGTATTTGTTGTTTCCTTCTTTTTTGCCCAGGCTGGATGTGGACTTCTGGGTTCAAGAGATGCTCTACCACACCTGGCTTCTTTTGAAATAACAAATCTTTATACTGGGATAATTTGAAAGTTTTCCTCTTAAATTTTATTTTTCTGGTAATCTTACTAGAATGCACTTTAGTTTTTTTTTTTTTTATTTTTAATTCTGGCTTGATTTGTTCAGTTGTGAGAACCATCTGGCTTTTTCTAGTTTTCAGATGTAGGTGAGTGCCTATTTTCACAGCTGACTGTGAGTTTGCCATCTAGAACTTCAGTTCCATGTGCTCTCTACAGCCAAGAGTTGTGTGTGCTCTTGTTATGTCCCAGCCTTGCTGGATGGAATTTTCTGATACCTTCCAGTTCTCTAGCCTCTTTAAATACAGGAGATTTTCTACATTTTTAACTTTTTTAAGGTATAAAATTTTCGTTTCCTCGTGAAATTTTTCATATTGTCATTTTGTCTGAACTATTGATCACACTAACCATTTTTTTTATTTTTTTGATTGGCATACGTTACTTGTATCATGTAACAGGCTTCAATTTGACATTTTCATAAATAGAAAATGGATTTTGCTCATATCCAACCCCTATATTATCTTTGAGGTGGTGACTTCAGTCCCAGGGGATCTGATGTTGTTAGACACCAACCATCCATTTGGAGCACATACATACACACAGACAAAACACTCATACACATAAAATAAAAAATAATTTTTAAAAATTAGATTTTGATCTTACGCCCCCCTTCCTTATCCTTAATTGGCTATTTTACTTCCATGCCTTTCTTTGCACTCTCCTAAATCACATGTATTAGCAGGAACACGTTACTTGCCTTTGTGCCTCTGGCTTGCTTCATTTAGCATCAACACATAATTTGGTCATCATTTGGTATTTCTCTGTCCTTTTCTGTGTCCCTTTTTGTGGTATACTGAATCATTAAAACAAATCTATTAAGGTCTTAAATGATGTTTTCTGCAAGGAGGACACCAGGTCACACAGATGAGAGTTGCAGCCTTTAAGGCTCAGTTCCTTCCAGTGTACCTCCACACCTCACCAGTGATATTCTTCTGACTGACTCAATGGCTTTCTCAGCCTTACCTTTGATTTTCTGAGTCCTTACCTTTGAGAAACAGTTATCTTCTTTTTCTTATCTTTACAAATCACATGTATGTTGTAACACACTCCGAATTATAGAGAGCCCTCTGTGAGGGTTCAGCCTATTTCTGAATATTTAGTTCAGAATGGGACATCTGGCCAGTCTTCCTAGAGTACTGTATTCTCCCATAGATGTAGGCCATTTATACTCCAGGGAATGTTTTTCTTTTTTGCCTGTCTTATTCTTTACCCATTTTTTTTTTCTGTTTGTCTTTTTGTACACAAGAATCAAACATAGTAGTGTGGTTTCACTTAGTATTCAGCCTACCCTCAATCCAAAAATATTAAACAGAAGCAAACATCTCATACAATTGAATTTGTTGAACATTCTAAGTACCATCTTATTCTGTTTCACCCAAGATATAAACCATCTTTTAGTTTTTCCACACTGACAAGGAGGTATCACAATGCCTGGGTTCAAGTATCCCCGATTTAGATATAGCTCCATGATATATTAATAGTGGTATGGCAAATTTTAATATGCTTAAGTCAAATACTCTCTTGAAGTAAAAATTTGAATGTTTAGAAAAAGTGTGCACTCATAGGAATACATAACCTGCATACAGTTCCAGACTATTGACATTTCTGGCCTCCACTGAGGCCTGTGAACAGAGTGCTTTATAGATGTTGGACACAATATCCCCAACCTGGCTTCAAGCTGCTTGAGGCATGAAGCCAATAGAAATATTAGATTTTTATCTTGATATAGTCCCAGTGTAATGCTTATTGTAGGATTTTGCATGTGGACTCTCAAGAAAGTATGTTCAGTGAAAGATATTCACTCTTTAAAAGAAATACTAGTGTTCATGGGACTAGGTCATCCGGTTCCCTTTTTCATTTTTAATGTTTCAAACAGGAAGTGACAGATTACCAGTGAATGATTTCAAGAATATGAGAATAACATTTTGCTGTCCTGATCCTGAACATTTGAATCAAAAGTGTGGAGAAAGCCCAACCACAACAGTAACAAAGTAACAGGAATCAATAAACACTTCTCATTGTTAACTCTTAATATTAATGGTCTCAATTCCCCAATAAAAATATACAGACTGACCAATTGGATTGGAAAACAGGATCCATCTTTTTTCCCATCCAGGAAATACACTCTATCACCAAGGATTGACATCAGTTTAGTATAAAAAAATAGAAAAGAAATTCCAAGTAAATGGGCTCAAGAATCAAGCTAGTATTGCCATCTTAACATATGACCAAAAAAGACTTCAAACTAAAACTAATCAAAAGGTTACACTACACACTCACCAAAGGAAGAAACCAACAAGAGCACGTTCATGAAAGAAACACTACTACTATAGCTAACATCACATATTGGTCCTCACACAGTGATAGTGGGTGACCTTATTACCCCACCATCACCAACAGACATGCCATACAGACAAAAGCTAAACGGAAATGCTGGAATTAAGTAACATCACAAAATAAACTGACCTATTAGATATCTATAGTACATTCCAGCTAAACACAAAAAATATACTCGCAACACAGTAGTTTACAAAATATATACATATAAAAAAGAAATATAAATGGAGTCACCAAATAATAGGGAGACATTGCTACAATGGCACAGAGTA